ATGAAGCGGAAAAGTTGATAGTCGGTAGGCGCAAGGTCTGAAGAGTACGGTGAATGAAGAAGAATCTCTCATTCGACGAGTGAAGTTTTGACGTCTTGTACAAAGGCGTCTGGCATTTTGGTGGTACAAGATCACTTGGCCTTGTTGATCACATATTTTCAGTCGCATATTCTTTTCAGGGGGAGTAGTTGGACAATGTTAAGCTCCTTGTTGAGCGTTGCATTACTTTCAAGCATTTCTCAGTGTATCAGGTAAATGAGATGTAGAAAATACAGATTTGTTTCTACTGAGTATTCTCTTTCTAAACCTGAAAAATGGGAAAATCTTTTAATTATACAAAAAAGGTTTTTAGAGCGGAAAATCACAGTTTTGCAGAGCGGAAAGTCACAGTTTTGTTGAGCTGAATACAAGCACTTTGATAAACAATAAACAAAACATTTAAATAAAGCTCATTGAGAAAATCGAAAAGAACTTATTCCCGTAGAGGCGTAGAATTTGTTTTAAAGACGAGTTTCTAATGGGGCCTGCGAAGCATATTTTGACCACGGGAACAGTTTTACGGTGGTATTAGGATTACTTTTATCATTCATCGAAAATTGGAGTAATTATAGCTAAATTTGCAAGTGTCAACATTTTCTGCCAGTTTTGAGTGTGAAGTTCGAAATGCCGTAAAGCTTTGCTCTCGGATTTGTCTCTGTCTAAAGTTTTTGACAAATAAGTTTTGTCAAGAGCAGAATTCGCTTATGGTACCCTTTAAATCAGGCTTTACTGTGTACACAGAGTATATATGTATAGACAAATAGCATTAAAGGAAACAAAGGGAATAGATATGTATGTATATACATATGTACAGGAAAGCACAAAATTCCAATATTAACGTCACCATTTTTGTTTTTACTTTATTTATTTTTCCCCTTTAATATCTTTATTAACTTATTTACTTATTTACTCTGTAATATGTACATATGTATGTACTTATACTTATATAACCCTGTATTTGTTTATTGTTGCTCATTAGGCGTGTGTGCTCTATTTTTTTTTTAATTAAATTTTAATTATTTTTTATTTTGTTTTTGTTTAAGCCTTAACATCTCCCCGTTGCCATATTAAATTACACACACAGTTGTTTGAGCCACTCAGTTCCGCATTTTAGTCGCCAATCTTGTCGTTGCATGAATTGTATCCGTACCAAGTATAGCCGCAAAACTCTATCTACGTGTGTACGGATGTACGGATGTAGATACTTTTGTATGACTGAATGTCGTATCACTTCTCGAGCTGGCTAAACACCGGTCATATATTTTATACGTTACATGACAGCGCAATTGTTTGCATTTGAAACGCTGAACTTGAAAATTTTCACTAAATCGCTGCGCTCTCGCTAACACCGATGACCTTGACGGCAAAGTTATTGCATAGAAACGGCGAGCGTGTACACGTGCACCGTTGCACTACATAACCATGTACATGCATATGTACCCTGCAGAGAAAAAACTAGTTGCTAACTAGAATAGAAGTGGTTTTTGCACTAACTATTTCTCATGTAGGCAACTGGTAAATTTAACACGGCGATGCCTACAAACTGTCGATTCTTTACTTTACTAGTAAATAAAATAAAATAAAATTTTGAATTTCTAGTTCACCGAGAAAATTTAAATGAGTTTGCCTGCAATCAGACTTGAACCGTGAGCTTCACGCGCTGCAGTGATAGCCTCCAACCGCTAGGCAATCGTTACAATGAGATCTGCGCACTTTAACAGTGCTTGTTGGGAAATGAAACTCAGTTGTAGCGTATTAAAAATAACAACAACAAAATACGAATGGAGTTTTGCTGAAAGTTTCTACTCCACCAAAAAAAAAAAAAAAAAAAAAAAAAAAAAACAGCAACAACAACAAAACCTGANAAAAAAAAAAAAAAAAAAAAATTAATTCACTTGTGATAACCTCTAACCACTATCATAACGGTGTAGCCATTAACCATTTTGTGCACCTTAACAGAGCCTAAGCGGGCGTGGAACCAAGCCGTGTTTTAATATACTCGTACATACATATGTAACAACAATTCACGGCGGTTGAAAATATTATTACTTCCGTTACTGATGAACTGATATATTATACATACATATATGAAATAACCAATTGAATTTAACTAAAATGTTTGCATACTAGTTCATCTTCTCTCTGCAGTGTGCATACGAGGTTATAATATAATATATGTATGTATTTTCATAAAAATAGCTCTGTTCGGTGAGAAATGTCAGTAAAATTTAACCTGTAACAAAATGTCAGAATTGCGTTCGATAGATGCAAATTTTTATGGTTTTTCGCCAGCTGCTCGCCAAACACAATCACAGGTCTATTCTGTCGAGGTATTTTGGTGTTAAAATCTACCATTTAGTAAATTTTGTTACTATTATATATCGTATTTTGAGTTCACTGTTGCCCTGTAAATTTTGTTACCCCCGAAATAGGAGGATACAAAGAATCTACTGTTTGATTTTCGGTTGTTAATTTGAGGAAAAATCTAAACCAAAATGTGAAGGCATATTTTACGTCTAAAATTCATTGGAGATGAAGAAAAAAAGTGCAAAAGGGTGCAAGTTTGCAACTACAAAAAATACCCTTTTAATATGAAAGACAGCGTCTTCTATTTCGATGAGTATATTCGTCTTTTTACTTTACCAACTGGCAAATGTAATTTTACATGGTTGAAAAAAAACAAAGTTTTTTCAAAAAATGTAACCTGTGCGATGGAATTTGAAAATCATTTTCGGGTGTTAAAAAAATATAACAAAATATACTTTACTGATAACAGTGAGAATAACCATGTTAGTGTTAAATTATATGAGTATTTACAAATTCTTTTTAATATTTTTATTTACATTCAAAATTCCAGGCCTGTTTCGACCAACATCCAAAATTAATATTTCTAATTGACCGTACTGCGGTGGCTTAGAATAAACTGTAGAGTCCGCCATTTATTGTAAAAGCATCCACAAATTGGTGGAATTCGGCCGGAATCGCTTCAGAGGTTACAGAACACCATTTTATACATACGTGTATCTACTTATATGCATTATTTTGGAATTAACTACTCCTCAACTATACAAGATCTGTACATTTTTCAAGTTTTTAACTGGTATAGTGTGAGAAAAACGTTGTTTGATATTTTCAAAGCCACACTTTTGTGATGTAGGGGTTGAATTGCTAATCATTATGAAAAGTTTTCCTTGAAATATTTGGAGAATGTCTTTGTGAAAATCGTCTTTGTTCTAGGCTACTAGCTAGTCTCCTTGTTTAGCATATCTTATCAGATGCCCTTTTCTTTTATTGGACTTGATTCGTCAGCTTTGTTTGGAGTTTCAATGTAGCTAGTATCATCAGCAAAAGTTCTAATGGTGATTATTTCCACTAAGAGCCTGCTTAGACGAATTCAAAAAATTTAGTATGGCTTGGTGTAAACCCGCTAGAGTTTAGCCTGTTACATGTTTAATATAGAAATGCCAATTCATTGATTTTAGTCGGCATTGCATCGTTTGAAATGCGTGTGTATATGGTACATTGACATGATCGTTAAGGTAAATTTTCAGGGAGTATAAAACCTCGGGGAATAACGACTGTACTTTCGCTCGACTTCGCTTCCGATTTTTGGCCGACCCTACAATTTATTCTAAGCCACCTCCGAACTGTCGATGAATTTCATAATTTTTTGAACCAGGACTCAAACTCTGGCCTTTTGAATGGCAGTACGCAAAGCTAAACAAACTTTTAGTGAGATCATTTAAAAAAAAATTAAAAATTTCGTTACAACAGAGTAGAGTGTTCTTGTAATAATATTTTGAAATATTTCGAGAGAGATATAAGATTTATTAGACACGAGTTGATAGAGAGCATGAATGTAAATAAATTAGTACCTGACCCAGACAATTTTCTGTGCATATCAGGTGGGTATGAGAATCGGCTAACATCTATTTTTACACCAGGAATTGGACGAAGTTTTGACCTAGTTTGACCTAATATAAAAAAATAGATAGCCTTTGCGGGAAGTGTTCCTGAAACAGATCTATTTGTAAAAGTCTTCATTTTGATTCGAATTAATATATAAACATTAAGCTTTTTTTCGAAAGTGGACCAGATCCAATAGATACCAGCATTACCTCCATTCCACAGCTATTGTTACTCCATCACCTTGAATTTTTCATTATACTCGTATTGCGGGCCTAGAAGTCACTTCTATTTATTCTCCAATAACTCTCTCCAGAAATTAAAATATTTTGGTAAAACTTGGTACTTAAGTTTCTTGAAACTCAGAGTTTTTGAAACCTTAATGGATGCTTAGACCAGTATTTAATTCTTTCAAGTCCCTCTTTTATGCATTATTCAGTGGCCTCTCGGGTGGTAGCTCCAGCATCAAGGGGCAGAGTGAATATCGATCCCGCTGATTTCTTCTGTCTGTTTTATCTTCATCTCAGTTTCTGCTTACATACATCGTTGATCCCAGCTCCATTTTAAACCGTTCATTACATTGAACGAAATGTTCGTAAAAGCATGGAGTCAGCAATAGCGGGAGCACACCATGAGCCTACTTAAATCCCAAGGTGCAGGGGAGGAACTTAAGAATTTTCCCGCGATAAGGCGTGCCTGCCGTAAGAGGCGAGTAAAATTCAAGAGTTGGGTCTTTATAGTGGAACGACTGGATTTCCATCAGACCAGGAACTGTCACTCCTGAAAGTTTGGGGAATATTTTTGCTTTACAATAATTACAACAACATGAGAATTCTTGATCAAATTAGATTTGTCATTATTGAAAATCATGTTTTCGTTTCAATGAGCGACGTGTATAAGTGAGGTCTTCTGTTGCAAGCATTGATCGGCAATAATCAATCCCCCTGTGGTTGCATCTTAAAATTACTATTTCTTTCCCTTCCGATGATTCTAATATTCAGAGCTCCACCACAGTGTAATAAAACAAAATTAATTGTATGTATTTTTCGTTGCAGCCGGAGTACTATAAGGACGCACCACATTTCCGACCCATTGGGGACGGTCCAGAATACCGGCTAGAAATACCGAGTGCAAAGTTGGACTTCACCGGCACTTATTCAGTTATAGCGAACAATTGTCATGGTGAGGCAAAAGCAGTCATATCACTACAAATTTTCGCTAAAGGTAAGTGCAAAAATTCAATTTCATTCATATATGTATGTATGTATTTTTCATTTAAAACTATTTGCTACAATCGTGAAATTTTCACAAGTCGGCTAATGAGTAGTTAATTGGCAGTGAGAGAGCTCTAGACTCTCCCTCTTACGAGTAATATTGGATGAGTGCATAAGTTCGTGTCCGATTCCGCTGGATGCCGTTCGAATCGTTTGAGAGTGGCGCTCGTGAAAGAAATGTATACATATTATATATCGTTGGAAAGGTGACAGTCCGAACTGTAAATCAAGCATAAAATAACTTCATTTTGATTTGAGTTGCTTAGTGAAAAGACGCATGGAAGATGGACAACGAAAAAGATCATATGCGTCATATTATGTTATACGAATTCCGCAAAGGAAAAACAGTAGGCGCTGCAACTAAAGATATTCGCGAAGTTTATTTGGACCGTGCTCCAGCACTCCGCACAGTAAAGAAATGGTTCGCGAAATTTCGTTCTGGAGATTTTAACCTCGAAGATCAACCTCGCAGTGGACGGCCTTCTGAGCTTGATGACGATGTTCTAAGGACTTTAGTTGCGAATAACTCACGTATTTCGACGGAAGAGGTTGCCAGTGAATTGAACGTCAACAAATCAACTGCGTTTCGTCGTTTAAAAAAGGTTGGGTACACTTTGAAGCTCGATACATGGGTGCCACATCAGTTGAGTGAAAAAAACAAAGTGGACCGTATGTCAACAGCAATTTCTTTGCTTCGACGGATCAAAAACGAACCTTTTTTGGATCGGCTCGTGACTGGTGATGAAAAATGGATCCTGTACAACAATGTTCAACGCAAAAGAACATGGAAACAGGCACACGAAGGGGCGGAACCGATGTCGAAAGGTGGATTGCATCCGATGAAGGTACTGCTGTGCATTTGGTGGGATATCCGAGGCGTGATCTATTTTGAGCTCTTGCCAGCTGGAGAAACGATCACTGCCAACAAGTATTGTCAGCAATTGGTCGAATTGAAGAAAGCAATTGATGAAAAACGTCCGATTTTGGCCAATCGCAAAGGAGTTCTTTTCCATCATGACAACGCCAGGCCACATGTTGCAAAACCGACCCTGGCCAAACTGAAGGAGATGAATTGGGAAATCATGCCGCATCCCCCATATTCACCCGACATTGCACCTTCTGATTATCATTTGTTTCGATCGCTGCAGAACAATTTGAATGGAAAAAAATTTAAAAATGTGGAAGACGTCAAAAACCACCTTGACACCTTTTTCAACGAGAAACCGCGGGATTTCTATGAATCAGGCATCCGTAAATTGGTTGAACGTTGGGAGTGGATTGCCGAACATGATGGCGAATACATAATTGATTAATAAAAGCGCTTTCTTCAAAAAATTTCAATTTTAGTTTGCACTTGAAATCGGGCACGAACTTATGCACTCATCAATATATTCCAATTATACCAGAATAGAATCTGTCAGTTAAGCCAACCGACTCAAATGGGTTCCTTTGACCACCGATTTTGTTCTAGGGAACAAAAAAAGCCACAGGCGGTTGTTACAACACGGCGGTCCCCTTAGAGCCCAAATACTTTAGAATACAAATACTGAGGGCGTTGTTGGATGGCGCGTTGTCCCGATGAAGGATCAAGTTACGAGCGATGTCTGCTCGCACCCTGTTGACTCGTTTTTTTCGAGTACTTGGCGATAGTAGACTTGATTTACAGTTTACCCCGGTGGAAGAAATTCTTTGCGGACGATTTCGCACCTCAACTAGTGTCCTGCTCCGCGTCTCGCCTTCCACGCTTTCACGCCCCTCCTTAAACTCCTTATGCCATCAAAACACCTGCGCACGACTAAGAGCACTATCATCATGCACTTTTACAATTTTAGCGAAAGTTTCCGATTTGACGATAAAATTTTATCGCGACGCGTTGCTCTTGATTTCCTTGTTGCATTTTCGTGATGAGCAACACGAACACACATTTACTCAACCCGACACAGCAGGCGAGCTAAGCAAGCTGGAGGATGGCAAATATATCAATGGAAAGGAGAATGATGCCGGGATAGGGAATTTCAAGGTCAGAGGGTTACCACAATCGCGGTAATATAATCAGTCTGTGCTATAATCATTATGTTCCGATTACCTCTGCATTGTAGCAGCGTATAGCCAGAGAACCTTTCATTCTGCTTTAACTCTGAGAGTTCTAGGGCTAATTTAACGAAATAATACTTCACTAAAAGTGAATATACTATATGTTTTTTTATATTTTTTGCTCTGTTATTATGAATTTTTATCTGCCTATGGTGATTTGTCCGAATCAAACTTTATTATCTTATTTCTTTGGAATATAATCAAGCTAATAAGGTCAGAATGAAATCACATTATGTTCGCTTTTTTTTAGCAATTGGAAACAAAATATTTTATTCGTTCGTTTTTACATTTGACAAGATTACTTAATGTGCACTTCAACTAATCTAAATATTTAATCACTACTTTACGGACTATTCAAATAAATTTTGGCGAGGCGTGGGAATACCACATCTTTCCAGAAATCTTCGGCTGCACCTAATAAGCTTGCAACAAATTCCATATCTGCTTGTACCCAAACATAATGAAGAGCACCATTAGTGTCGAAGGTTGGACTTAGTACACAATAAAGCGCTTTTGTTACATTCGCCATATACATTTGTATTTGTATCTGTGCCATATATTTAGGCGCAATAGTTTCACGCCCTTCTAAGTACTTTTCGAATTCCTCATCTGTTTTCGGCGCCTTTATTTCCACGATGTGGTCATCGGTAATGCCATCTGGAGATGCGCAAATATATGGGTAGCTTTCATTGAGCAACAAACCACATTCTGTGTATGTTTTATTTTCTAGTTTTTCCGTTTGCTTTAATATAAAGCGTTTATGCTGCTTCAACTGTTGCCGTTCTTCAGCATTGTACTCTCGTTCTTTGCAGAAGAGCATTTCTAAAATGTGTTCATCTTCTAAAACATCCTTCCGTGAGGCAATCCGATGTATGAGAGAACAACGTAGTCGCATGTACTGAGTTTCAAGCCAAAGAGGCGTCTTGTAACTCAATTTTGAGACTTCCGCAAGTCTTTCAAATAGTCCTTGTTTAGCTTGCTCTTCCATGTGTTGTACAAATGATCGCGAACTTTTCACACCATTATTTGACGCATCCAACATAGTGTGATGTATGAACAAAGGCTCAAACTCATCCAATACAGACCTACAGTGACGGTACAGAGCTGAGTCTCTCAAACCTAAATTATCCATTTCATCAAGCACATTCTCGAAGAACGCTTGCCCTTCTGTTTCACCAACAGCAGCCGCCTCCAAATCGGCTTCCAAACGTAATTCATCACAAGCAAATATTTCACGAATTCGTAGTGCATCTGCACGTTCCTCCTCCATTAGCGCCTCAACTTCTCTACCCCAGAAATCCAATATGGATGGTGCTTCAGTATCTGTGCTCTTTCGATGTAGCCAGAAAATAAAGGCAAGAATGTGTGGACACGATTCTATAATATAAAGAGAAACTTTACTCTAATTTTTTTTTTCAAATAATTCGTTTAGTAACAAACCTTTCTTTAAGCACTGCTCACACTTGGTCTCCGATATTTCATCTTTTTTCTCATCTACCTTTAATGCAACTCGTACATGCGCCTCATGGCTACCGCCACTTGCTGCCGGAAAGACAACAGCGCGCATCTCGAATACATCGCCGGCTTTTCTAAATTGTACATAATCAATGCGTAAGTCAACGTCTTTGCCATCCCTAAATTCAGAGAAAAAATTATTTTTCTTTTATTTCACTATTGCGAGTTTGTTGATAAACATACTTGCTGGTTCCAGGGCCCTGCTTTTTTATGCCACCGCCGCTAGTGGCAATTTTTGTGACGAATGAGAATATAGTCTCGCTGCGTACCGTAGGAATATTGTTTATGTCAGCCTTGCGAAAGCCCGGTTCCAACTCCATATGTATCACAATCATTTTGTGCCAAATAATTACTGGCAGCGGCTTTATTTGTTAAAAATGTTAAAATTCTCTAATGCAACTAAAATTGTAGAAATGATGCTAAAATTAGATAAATGTTTATGATGCTGCCACTATGTGAAAAACTAATCACGCAGAATTGTACTGTTAATGGACAGTGCTGCCATATTTTGATTTTCAGAAATTTGCTATAGTTTTATAAATAAATGCAAAATAGCTAAAAAAATATTCTAAAAACGACACCCATTTATATATAGTTGCTTATGGATTGATAAATGTTTGATAGGAACAGATTAAAGATTAGTTTTTTCCTAATAATCGTCCTCATTAAAAGAATAAAGATGGAAGACGCTAAACAACGCAAAGTGCGCAATATTTCTCAGCAGGTGGCGCGTGTAGCTGTTAGTTGTCGCAGTACGCCTTTTGGTATGCAACGAATTTGAGTATATAACGTGCTATACATTTTATTTCCGTTTCCGCATGAATATGAGAAAATGTGCATACATTACCAAATGTTAGTATATTTTTATACTCATCTTGGTTCATTTATTCATATAAACATAAAATCCTGAAGACTAATAGAATTTATAATGTGTACTTTTCATATTTTAGCCCTAAATATTGTATAGGAATTTATCCAATAGAATGTTTTTAATATCAGCTCTCAAAGGGGCAAAAAAGGTTAAAACTTGAATTGCTGGTCGTTGTTTTATTACTTTCTTTTTTTAGTAAAGAAAGTTATGAAAGAAATAGCTCTGTGATATCTACATACATATATTTTTCTTTTAGTTTTCATACCAAATAGGGGGGGGGGGGGGTTGTATATTAGTTTTAGCCGAATAAACACTTGAACATAACCGTCATCCGTCACAATCTGCTGAAAAATCGCATAAAGAACCGACGATTTAAGGTGACGTGGTAATGTGAGTGGCTTTTTCTGCGACCTTTACAGAATCTATACTTGAATAGTATTTGGTTGTTGAAAATGGGAGCTTTGGTCTGTTATAAACACTTTCGTTATCCCAATGACCACCTGAGACCCCAAGAAGAACATTGGTACTATTTGGAGCTTTCATTCATTCGTTACTAATTCTTTAATTTAAGAATAATAAAATTTCATTTATATTGCAGTTCTAACGTACATATATATTCCTTGTAAATTCTAAAATGATATTGCATGTTTTTTTCTCAGACATTCTCAACAATTTATCAATGGAGAAAGGCTCGATTCGCCACGGGTGAGTATTATACTTTCATTTGTTATCTTCATTCATCCAATTATTTTCCATTTTTAAAGCAACGTGGAAACCTTCCCGCATTTTATACGCCATTTGCGCGATTTACGCTGCTGTGATGGTGATGCAATTACCTTGGAATGTCACGTTGAGGCATTACCGGAGCCAGTTATCATTTGGGAAAAAGACGGTCGTGTTCTACCGAGTGATAAAGACTTCACCATGTCCTATGATGGAATCAAGGCTACACTGAGCATACCTCGTATTTACCCTGAGGATGAAGGCAAATATACTTGCGTGGCTAAAAACAATCTTGGACGTTCACTCTCCTCGGCTTGCATAATAGTCGATGTGCCTGAGGAAAAGGAGAATATGCTAAATCGTCAGCTATCGCGTCCTAGCGGCTTACTCTCGGCCAACTCTACACCACGTTCCACACCACGCTCTACACCCAACCGTTGTTTCTCGCCTCGGCGCCTTTCGTATCGTTCATCACAAATCGATCTTACTGATGGTCGCATTGGCGGCTACAGGCGTGCAATGTTAGACTCACACACTTTGGCTGCACCCAAATTTTTAGCCATTCCGCACAGCCGTGTCGTAGAGGAGGGCGACAATGTACGTTTCCAATGTGCCATTGCTGGTCATCCAACGCCATGGTCCACATGGGACAAGGAGGGTTTGATTGTAACGCCCACTGCACGTATAGCGGTTAAGGAGGTGGACGATTTACGTTTCTTGGAAATTAACGAAGTCACCTTCGATGATGCCGGTCTGTATCGTATTACCTTGGAAAATGATTATGGGCGCATAGAAGCTTCAGCACGCCTAGACGTCATTGGCCGATCACGCTATTCGCGTTCACCTTCCGTGCGCAGCATACGTGCGTCTTCATCACGTCGTAATGCACAGCTTCATCGACGCATTATGGGACCATCGACGGCAATAGGCGGTCGCATGGCGCTGGCTACGGGCTATCGTGGTTCTTCCGTGCCAGCATGCAAATTCTATCACAATGGTATTGAGTTGGAGGAAGATAATGAACGCGTGCAAATTACGGTGAACGAACATGAAGCGCTTCTTTGTATTGACGATGTGACTGAGAGGGATGAAGGACTTTATACATGCATTATACAGGGTGATCATGAACCACTGCTCACAAGTACGTGGGTGAAATTCGAAGCGACGGAGAAGGATGCATTAGCTGCGCGCCTAAGGGCGCCACTTGTGTCACGTCCCCTTCCCACGCAAGTGCAAACGTATGAGCGCGAGACAATCGATTTGAGTTTTGAATTGGATTGCGATGAGCCTTACACTTACACCTGGACGCGCAATGGTGAAGTGTTAGCTGATGATGAAGACTTTAAGTAAGCATTAGTTTTTCCTTGATCCTTAGGGGGGTTTTGCAAAAGGTATTAAATATTAATTTCTTCAATACAGCCACATTGACCATGGCAATGGTGTAATCTGTCTGCGCATTAATGATGCCTTCGACTTGGACTCTGGCGAATATGCCTGCGAGGTGCGTACAGCGGCTGGTCTTACTTGCACTACCGCTTGCCAACTAAGCGTCATCGAAACCGACGATGAATGCCTGTCTTCACCGGCAGAGCATGACTGCCAGCCGATACTTTTGAAATCGCCCCTACCAGTTTTGACCAATGCCGGTGCGGCGGAGGCGGCGTTCTGTGCACGTGTTTATCCACCTGACGCCAATGTTCAATGGTTTGTCGGCGGCCACGAAATTAACGCCGGCGACGGAAATGAAGAACACGAAAGTGACTCATCTGCAAAAGCGATATTTAAGGTGAGTGTTAAAATTTTTTTTTGGGGAAAATCCACTAGCTCTTAGTGATTCATAGTTTTGCGAAGGCAGACGTTGGTACAAGAGAACAAAAAATATAGTGAAGTACATAAATGAGACGGGCTCAATATATGAGTACATATTTATTTGAGGCAAACATATGGTCATATACATTCGATTATGTGGTTCAAGGCTACGACACATCTCGGCAGCACACGTCGCTTTGCTTTAGTTGTTGCCTCAATGTTCCGTCTATTTTTGCAAATTTAAATTTTTATTAAGTCAAACAATCCACACTCCATTGTACGGTTATTTTGTGTGTTTTTGTAGATGTAAGCATAAGAAAAGCTAAAAATTCTTTAGTCACAGTAGCCATAGCCGGCAACTGAACTAAAAATCAAACTGAAAACCGTGTTTTTGAGTACAACAGTGTTTTAGAGCTATTACTTAATCCGAGCACTCAAACCGAGCCAGATTTGTATATCAGTTAGCAGGTCTGATTGCAAGCTCTCATATTGAATGCCTAACGGCTTATTAATTATACGAACCTCTCTTCCTTCAAAACCAAGGAATACTCTTCCTCATAGAGAAAAATAATCATATTTGCTTCTACAAAGAGATTGTTTCGTTTAAAATTTTTGATTTCCTTTTTTATACATATGTACATACATACATAATAAATAATTAATTTTTAAAAAAATAGAAAATAACGGTTATTTTCTGATCACACCTCGTATATGTTTTTCTAATCATATTTCTGTTTTGTAAAACGTGTCGAGAACCGTCGCGCACAGTTCTTTTCTTACCACTGATTTTAATTGTTTACAAAGGGTGATTTTTTAAGAGCTGTAGAAGAGTTTTTCAAAAAAAAAAAAAAAAACACATAAAATTTAGAAAAATGCATGAAATATTTATTTGAATCGATAGTACAGTCCATATAATTTAATATTTGAAGATTATTTTATAAAAATATTGACCGTGACTGCGCCTCAAATGGTCCATCCGCTTAGTTCAATTTTGGCGTACTCTTTCCAACATTTCGGCCGGTATCTCACGAATAAATGCTTCCATTTTGTCCTCCAATGCGTCAATTGAAGCGGGCTTGTCTGTGGAGACATTAGATTTAACATAGCTCCACGAAAAATAGTCTAAAGTCGTTAAATCGCAAGTCGCCTAGACCAATTGACCGGTCCGGAAGGAGAAATAAAATGTTTACCGGACTCGCCTCTCAATAAGTCCTTTGTTACGCATGCTGTGTGGCATGTGGAACCGTCTTGTTGAAACCACATGTCATGCAAGTCAATCTCTGGCATTTTGGGCGAAAAAAAGTACGATATCATCTCACGGTAACCGCAAAACTATTTGCCAAAATACTTTTTGGGGAATCTTGCGGGAGTGACAGTCCTTAGCCGGATAAAAATCCGGGTCGTTCCGGTATAAAGACCCGACTGTCGCGTGAACTATTGGTCACAGTAGCTTTCACCATTCACAGTTCGCATCATCTTTGAAGAAGTACGGTCCAATGATGCCACCAGCCCATAAACCGCATCAAAATATGACTTTTGCTGGATGCATTGGCAGCTCTTGCAATGCTTCTGGCTGATCTTCACACCAAAATCTTCAATTCTGCTTTTTTTCCGCATCCATAAAGTCAAAATGAGTTTGCTTTACTGTGCAAATTTCATGCTTCCAAAATATTTTTGACCAGTCTTTGGCCAACTGTAATCTGATTATAAACAGCCGACTGTTTCGACTTTTATTACATAACGGTATTTTTGTTTCATTAATTACATTCCATTTAGACACTCTTGGAAATTAGTTACCATTTCAACTGAGTATGAAAAAGTTTTGAGAACACAAAAATAGCATAAAAGGCTCCCATAAGCGATCACCCCCTGTTAGCGGACGAAAATTGTGGAACCGTTAGTGTCCGGTTGTGGCAGGTTTCACTGTATATAATTTTTATGCTTTCATTTATGACCTATCCAAATTTACACAGCAAAAAAAAAAAACATAAATAAACATTTCAGCTATATATACTAACATATGTACATACATATGTGTATATATGTATGCTGGTATGTTAATGAATTGGCAAAATAACAATAAAGATTGAGCAATCAAAGTAGTAAAAACAATGACACACACTATGTCAGCGTCAGCGACAGTCACGGCAGCCCTCCTCAAATCAATGAAAGTGGAGTAGCAGTTTCAAAAGTCCCACAAATAAGTGCTCTTTAAAGTGCAATTTCCATTTATTCGCTTTTATTATGCGCGTTGGGCTTTTAGTTTTTTTTTTTGAATCAATATGAGTTTTGTTCATTTTGAAACGTCATTGCATCGTAATATTGATGCCACTGCTGAACACACCCACAAAAGCAAATATTTCGAAAAAATACGTGTGGAAGATTAACGCCAGCGGCTGTAGACCAGCGCCAGCACTTGATGTGAGCATGCACGAAGCGCAATTGTTCGGTGGGACGAACTGGGCGAGTAGCTCAACCGTGTGGTAAACCACAGCCTATAATAAATATATAAACGTATTTATGTACATACATATGTATATATGTATGTATTATATGTATGCCAATCTACACGTATGCATGTGTGTATATATCGCTTTGGGAACTCCGCACAGCCGGAATACGTTGAATCACTAAACTAAATAGACGATCGGTTTTAGTTGCCGCAGAACTTCGATACGGTGCGCTAACAAAGTTTTGTCGAAAATGTCTTTGTTTGCTTAAACAACTAATTAATTTAACGAAAATTTTATCTATAGATATGTAATTGATAACGGTTTTGATAAAAAGTCTAATACCGCTATGTTATTCAAAAAGGTACGAGTGGCGCCAAAATGTGTTTTTTTTTCGAATTCAATATTACTAGGCATGTGCATATCTAGTGATCTCTCTGAGGAAAAATAAAGCAAGTTTTCGACTTTAGGTTGCAAACAATGTCATGCCATAGATAAATTGTTTATCATATTTTATTGTCGTTTAATTCACTTTTATTATTTCTTTGGTGTTTCGAGTGATGACTACTGTGTTTGTTGTTGACACAAGTGATAATGGCAAAAATGAGACTAAGCACTTAACGAATCAACTCAAAACATACATATCTCAATTTCCAAAAAATCGTTTTAACAGCAGTGATTCAGTGAGAAATTTAATGTGATGATTTAAATAAAAAAAAAAAAAATATAGTCACTAAGAAAGTGATTAATAATGTCATAAAACCTTTCGCTGAATTAAAGTAAGAGAGTCGACAACGAAAGTAAAACTTATTTAGGAATATATACATATGTACGAACGAATAAGTTTTCCGAGGTCGAGAAATTGACATACACGGTGTGTCCCAAAAATAAACGAACTTTTTGGATATAATATAAAATACACATTATATTATCTTTGAAAGTTATTATTTATTCAAAATAGGTTCCATTTGACTTAACACAACGTTTGGGACGATCAACCAGCGCATGCATAGATTTTTTTATGTCATTTATAGAAATGTTCTTCAGTACCTCGATTACGGCTGCTCCCTTCATCTTGGTTTTCAGTTTTGGAAATAAAAAATAGTCAAATGTTTTAGTTTTTTTCTTTCTAATAGTAAAATATTGACCACGACCAATTGCCCTCGATGTTGTCGTAAGTGACCCATTTTCCATCGCCAGTCACAATCCGCTTCAGAAACGAGTCGATTTTTTTGCGATTCGTAGATGGAAATTCGGTCCATCTTGTTTTTTTTTTGCGTTAGTTTGTATGGCACCCAAACATCTAGCTTCTTTTTGAATCCACGGTTATCTGGCTTATCCTTAGTTCCTCAGCAATTAAATAGGTGCTCACGTGACGGTCTGTTTCCACTATTTCCATGATTTTAACGCAATTTTCGACGACAGGCCTCCCGACTTTTGTACTACACAGTATAGGACCCATAAACTAAATTAATTTTTTTCAGCCGCTTTGGCCGCTTTTTCCCCTTGATCGAAGAAAAATTGTAAAATATAGCGAATTTTCTCTTGCTGGTGTCCATCTTTGACGAGCGCTCACAACGTACTGAGTCAATCAATCGAAAAACTGTCGAAAACAAACTTTTAGTGCGAATAAAGACGTATAGTATGACATGATGCGACACGTAACGCTAAATTAATAATTCACCATTTCTTTTGAACATACTTCGTATGTATACAAATAGTTTTGTCGGTGACCTGATGGACAGTAATAAATGTTACTGAATCGCGTTCCATGAGCCAGTAAGCCAGTAAAATTAGTAACGAGAGAGCGCAATTTTGACGTCTTTGGAGAGAGATGCACAAACAAATAAAGTTCCAGAAGACCAGAGAGTTTACGGAAATCGTTTTTTTCGATATTCGTGGTGTGGTTTATCATGAATTCGTTCCAACGGGACAGAGCGTTGAGTATTTTGAGGCGTTTGCGCGAAAACGGCCGGAATTGTGGGCCAAAAATTTCCCGAAAACTTTCATGACGATAATGCGTCATCGCATCGAGCTGTAGTTGTGAACGATTTTAAGACCAAAACTCGTTTAATGCCATCGATCAATCACCGTATTTACCAGATCTTTTTTTGTTTCCAAAACTCAAGTTACCTCGACTCGATTGAGGCCATAAAAAGAAATTCACAGAGGGAGCTGAGTTCGAGTGATTTTAAAGGCTGCTACAAATAAACTGGTTTGACAGCTCGCGATTAATTTTGACATAGTAATTAAGGACGGCAGCCAGCGGCCGTGCTAGCCGAGTGGTTAGCATTGTGTACTGCCACTCATAAGGCCCGGGCTCAAATCCTGGTGTCGTCCCAATATCCAAAAAGTTATAGAAAATTTATTTAAAAGAAAAAATTAATTTAGTATAAACAACAACACACAAAACCACAAATTGAAGGAGGAGCGCGGCCGAAAAATCGCTTCAGCGGTTACAAATTATATATAATAAAAATTTAAGAACAGTGCTGCCAACTTAACAAAAAAAGTGCTGAAAAATATTCAACGCGGGCAGTTTAAATAACACTTTCCGGAAACTTTCTGGTCTTAATGTAAATCTTCTGTACTTTTAGAGGACTCTTAGAAAAAACATATCTTTATCGTTTAACGGCTATAAATCATGTAGAGTTTCATCTTTGCTGATATGCAATAAATTTGGATTTGAATTAATAAATTAAAAATGCCAATTAATTGCCAATTTTATAAAAATACTTAAAAACAGAAACATTAAACTGCGTAATTGAACGTATTCAAATGCAACCGCCAAAATAAACAGATGTAAACTCAGTAAATTTTATTTCTCTGGGAGAGAAAAATATTTCACTCTTTCAATTTCGTTACTGGCTAATTTTACTGTCATTTCTCACCGAACAGTGCTGATGAATGTTGGTTGTATATTGTTTTACCAAAAGTTAGATTATACTTTCAAGAGTCCATTTGGGGCTTTAATAATAATGAAAAATGATTTCCTTGAACCGAATCAGAATACACGCACATATATATGTATTTGTATTCAAGGTTCTTGCAAGGACAATTTCCTTAAGGAGCTTTTCATAATAACAGCAACACATAATACTCACTTTATTAGTATTGTACATTCATTAACTCTCCGAAGAGTACTTACTGTACTTTCCTTAAATGTGTTATCAAACTTATGTACATACATGCCCGTATACATACATACATATTATGCTGAGAATGTCGCTCTTCTAAGGTCGCACTTCAGAGAGCTCTGGAGTGTAGGTGAGATGCATTGAGCACCTGTTTGGCGTGCATTTGTTCTTATTCTTCTTTCTTAACGCGCTCTGGGGAGACTTTTGCGAAACTGTGATAGCCGCCAAGTAGGCCAATCGCGCAATCAATGCTGGAGCGGGCGCAATTAAGTAGCACATCGGCGTTTTCGTGGAATATCAGTTCGACGCCAGTTGTCGGCGCGCTGTGTTGTCGTCTGCCGCGCAATTTTCCACAACATTAATTTTTCATTTTCCAGTTTTCTTCGCTTTTACTACGTGTTTTTTTTTTATCTACGGACTGGTTAGCAACGTTCAGTGTACAATTTTATTGTTTCATTTGCGGCTAATTGGCGGTTTGTGCAAAAATATATCTACATACACATATAGTATTTGCCACAGCACATTTATTTCGGCATTGTGACAGGCATAGTGGAATATGCAATAATTATAAATGATATCTAAGCACAGGTGGACATACATATGTACACACATATGAGCATATCTACAATACGGCTGTCGTATTGGTATTAAGAGACCCTACCTGCGGATAATGCATATCAAGTAGTTATTTTTTTTTTTTGGCACCTTCTATTTTACATGCTGCGGGTGTGCTTGACTTTTCCTATTTTTATCATAATCACCGGCTTGCTTTTCACTATTCCGCGCGCAAAGCCACACTCTTGATGCGCGTATAGTGTAGTGTAGTGTTGTGTGTAACTTACATATTAAGCATTTTTCTAATCCACCGCGCATTGTGCTTTCTCTTTTTCATTACCGAATTCGGCTAAATCAGCCGGTGGAGACGCAAGTCAGCAGCGAAGCGGACGGTGTTCGCATACTGCGCATACAGAACGTCCAACAACGTCATTGCGGCGAAGTGCAATTGAGTGTGACACACTGTGGCAGAGCGCAGAGTTCCACGTTACGAGCTTACACCAGTCTAATTGTGCTGCCAGAACGTGGAGGTATAGAGGACATTACGCCGCACACAAGTAACGTGGATAGTACAATAGAGGCTCTGAGTAGAAGTGCGCAGGCGGAATTACCTGCTTGCATATTGGAAGGACCGCAGGACTGCACCGCTCTTATTGGTGGTAGCGTTAAGTTGAGCGTTTGCTACGAATCTGTGCCACGTGCAGAAGTTAGCTGGTTTAAAGGGGTAAGTGATGCAATGAAAAAATTGTTGCTTTTTCATATATTAAAATATGCAATTCCTTACAAGTATTATTTTTAAATTCATACAACATATACATACATACTTACATACATACATAGAGATACGAGTACATATATGTATGTTTTTCAGGTGGGTTTGCAACCCACTTTGAAGATTTTTTCATTTTATTCAGTTAAATTTGTCTACGCATTCCCTTGTTTTACCATAAAAGCATTTACAAGCTGACTGTTGGTGTTTGGGCCGAAGGCTGACGTTGATGCACCTTTAAAGGTTATTTGATTTCAAACCGGAAAATAAATTGCGTCATTATAGATGACAATAATAGGCGCCAACTTGCTTTACTAACGCATTTTCATTTTCAGCTAACTTAGGGAAGCAATCCAGTTACATGGAATCAGAGAACTCTCAGCAATGGAGTTTTCTTATGACATTGTGGCCTCTACGCTTGACTTGGCTTTGGAAAGCTCTGCTTAATAAATAATAGGAAATAGTTGCGAAATTTGTTGGAAAGGCATAACCAAAATTGGTTCGTATAGTTCTGACCTTTTATGCGGATAAAATGAATTGAACTTCAATTCACCATATCAGCTCTTCAATACCTGTATATGGTATGATGGAAAGAGTTACTCTTTATTCAATAAACAGTTTTACACTCGGTCTTAGGGAGCGTCCATAAAAAACGTATTTGTTTAAAAAATACGCTAACGTGGGGAAAGACCAAGAGCATGCGAGCAAAATCATGTAGTTTTCTTGAGATAAGGAAAATATTGCACTTAATAAATGATTTATTAATTGCTACCAAATATTTATTCATTAAGGACGATTTTGTCGAGTCCCTGTTAATGTGAGAATTACGAAACCGGCCGTTAAATTTAACGACATAATAAACACGTTTTCATTTACTCGACCTCCTGTTAAATTATTATTATTTATTATTAGATGAAAGGTGGCAGGGCTGTAAAAAGGAAGAAAGGAATTACGTAAATCAGCTGTTTTAAACGTAAATAAAGTAAATTCTCTTAAATTTCTCTTAGCAATATGGCGCACAGAGGATTCTTAAACCCTTTCCCCAAGCTCATGAATATAAAATACCTGTCTATTTTCCATTATATCTATATATTATGACAAAACGAAAGTAAATCTGTAAACCAGCTGTTTTCTATTTGTAAACAGAACAGATGTCGCTCTCGCAAAATAAATTATTAACCAGCGCTTTGATCGCCTGTTAAGTTTAACAGCCAAATTTTAAAAGAAGTTAATATTTAAAAGGCACTCAAAAAATCGGCCCTAGGTCGTATAATATATTAAAAAATTCTTTACCATTATATTATTCATTTAAAGAAAATATTTTTCACAACGATTATATTGGCTTGAGTCATTGGCTCCTGCCTTCACCAGTGGGTAGAAGAGTTTCTTCGCTTGCTATTGTAGTTCGTCCGTCATCCCTGTGTCCAGGTACCCAGACAAACGGCAGTTCTATATATAGTAGAGAGATTGTTGAGAAAGTTCCTAAATTTTATGGCCACTTTTGACGTGGTGCCTTTACATTGGAGTGATTTGATTGCAGTTTGACTGTTGGAGTATATTGTAACCGATTGTCTTGCTGCCATAGATTTATGCTATTGTACCAATCAGCAGCCTCCATGATTGCAAAGAGTTCCGCCTGGAAAACGCTACAGTGGTCTGGTAGTCTCATGCTCATATTTAATGAAAGCATGGGAGAATAAATTCCGTAACGCACCCTCCCATTGAGCTTCGAGCCATTTGTGAATATCTCTACATGGCTTCCTGGTCGGAGGCATTTGTAGTTGCCAACTCGCATCTGTTTGGGATTCTCGTGGAGATACAATTTTCGAAGCACCTGCAGGAGGTGGTGTAGTCTAGCTCCTTTGGCGTTTCTGCTAGAGATAATATTTTGGTGTGTCTTTTACTGCAAAACTTCCAAGGTTGAACAGCGTTTAATCTGGTTGCATTACAGTCCGCTAGTAATTTCCCGTATAGGTACAAAGTAAGGATGTTGAGGAGAGTTAACAGGGCTTTCGATGGGGTTGATGGAAGTGCCGCTGTTACCAGGATACCAGCCGATCGTTGAACTCTCTCTTTAGTTTGCTCCTGAAAGTAATTTTATCAAGTGCCACCAACTCTGGCGCCATAGAATAGGATTGGTCCAATTACCGATGTATAAAACCAGTGCACTATACCCGGTCTTAGACCCCAGCTTTTTCCTATCGCCGTTTCGCAGGCGTAAAAGGCAGTTATAGCTCTCCTCGAACTTTCAGCTCTGTTCCGGCTCCAGTTAAGCTTGCTATCCATGACTATGCCGAGGGTGAGCTCCATGCCTTTTAGTCTAGGTAGCTTAAAAAGAGTCGGTTTGTGCCTCCTTAGTTTATGGGCTGCTTTGATCTTAGCATCAACAGTAGTGGCTAAATGGCTAATTGCGCTTTTAGAATATTATTTAGTTTTATTAGAAAATCTACGGTATCTTCCATATACATACATACATATAAATCAGTTCATAATTCTATTGCTCTTTCGTGGATTAGCATTAAAGAGCATGAACACATTCTGGTAAATACATACACATAGTACATACATATATATAAAAACATAATATTTCATTTGAAAAGGTTTATAATTACGTATTAATCTCCTTCCAGTTGTGGTTACGTTTCGCTTATAAATACTGACGCAAGCAATAATTTTTTTTAAATAGGTAACGTAATAATGAACAAAGGAAAAATGCAAAGATAAACACAAAAATTAATAAATAAAAGAAGAAAATTGTCACGATCGATTTGCGGTTTTTAGTCGCTGCTCTGTATTATGTACATACCTGCTCGTCTTAAATGCTACGTCAGTATGTATGAACGACAACAATTGCCAATTTTTTTTTGGTTGCCTTCGCTTAACGATCGTCATTTAAGAACATACATTCTTGCACACATACATACATACATATGTACATACGTAATTGTTTTGCCAACCACAAGAACAAGCCATTTGTTTTATTTGTTGTGCGGCTGACGCGCAACCAAGCCTTGCTCACATTTCCAAGGGCTTATTGCAGTAAACTATGGCAAGTTGGCAAGTGCTTTTTAGCCGGGTGGGTGGTTAACTGGCGCTATTTGCTCAGTCTGACTGACAGACTGACAGACTGACAGACTGACTAATGAGCTAATTGTCTGACTGATTTGTTGTCTTGTTAGCTGTGCCCCTGAGCGAATGGTTTTGCATGATCGATTGATCGATTGTTCGTTTCTCAGCTGTGCTGTGCCCCTGAATTCCACTGTTGGCAAATAGCGATGCGTCGGCATGCTCATGCATTTATGTATGTTGATGTTTAAGCGTATTTGATGTCAGATCAACACCTTACACCACATCCAATATGCTTTAATTGTTACCTTTCAGCAATACTAATTAATAATCGCGCATATATGACTTTTGTTTGCTTTTTTTTTGGAAAATTCCCTTTGTAGTGCCGTCCCATAGTTGAACAGCGTAACATTTCGATACGCAGCAGCGCTAAGCGCTCAACGCTGCTCATAACCGACATTGCGGCAGATGATAGTGGCAAATATACTGTGGAGATCATGAATGCCTTGGGCAGCGATTCAGCGGCCGCCTCGGTGGCGGTGGAAGGACCACCTGATGCGCCAAGTGGTAAACCGAGCATCTCTCAAGGTCCTGATCGCATTGCGGTTGCTTGGTGTGGACCACCGTACGATGGCGGTTGCATGATAACTGGTTTCATGTGAGTCACAGCTCTGAATACAAAGAGTAAAACTTATTTATTTAACAACACCGCAAGGCTTATCGTTGTTGTATTAAATGCGTTTATTCTTAAAAATTACAGCATTGAAATGCAACAGCTAACGAGCGAACTGAATCACGTGAGTGACAATTCGACTGATGGCGAAAGCGTTTGGCACGAAATCGCTACTGTTGTGGACTCATTAGCGTACACCGTTAAGAATTTGACACCGAGTGCTACTTATCGATTTCGCGTGCGCGCCAAAAATGTACACGGTTGCAGCGCACCCAGCTTGCCCAGTGATCCGGTTGAATTGCAAGCTCAAGAAATTTTAACGGAAGGTGAGTGTGGCGGGATAAGTAAATAAAGCGGGTTTCGGAGAAATATTTGAATCAGATCAACAAATTTTGCAAATAATTTATTTTATAGTAAATTTAAGCTTTGCCGCTGTAAACATTTTGAATTACTAAACGATTTTTTTTTTTTTAGATTTCCAAAAACCGATTTGTGTTAAAGCAGGCGGCGATTTCAAAAGTCGCTTCGAAATACTCGAGGAGTTGGGCAAGGGGCGATTTGGAGTTGTGTATCGTGTACAGGAGCGTGAGGAACCGAAACAAATTCTCGCCGCTAAGGTCATCAAATGCATTAAAGCACAAGATCGTCAAAAAGTATTGGAAGAAATTTCTATAATGAAATCGTTGCAACATCCAAAGCTGCTGCAATTGGCTGCTTCATTTGAAAGTTCACGTGAAATTGTCATGGTGATGGAATAGTATGTAATCACCTCAGATTTCAAGATATCCTTTTTTTAAATACTAAATATTCATCAACTCTTTTTGTCTTGAAGCATTACTGGCGGTGAACTCTTCGAGCGTGTCGTAGCTGACGATTTTACATTGACGGAACGTGATTGCATACTCTTTCTCAGGCAAGTGTGCGAAGGTGTCGCTTATTTGCACACGCAGTCCATAGTACACTTGGATCTGAAGCCGGAGAATATTATGTGCCATACACGCACTAGCCATCAGATCAAGATAATTGATTTCGGCTTGGCCCAACGGCTGAATACGGATACACCGGTGCGCGTACTCTTCGGCACACCGGAATTTATACCACCAGAAATTATTAGTTATGAACCAATCGGCTTTCAATCGGACATGTGGAGTGTGGGCGTAATCTGTTATGTGCTGTAAGCAATTCGTATTGATCAATTGTTGGACATACACTAATGATGTCTTCCCAATTTACATAGCTTATCTGGCTTGTCACCCTTCATGGGCGATACAGATGTAGACACATTCTCGAATATAACACGCGCTGACTACGATTTCGATGACGAAGCTTTCGATTGTGTATCACAAGAGGCCAAAGATTTCATATCGAATTTACTGGTTCATCGCAAAGAAAATCGCTTAACAGCTAAACAGTGCTTGGAGTCCAAATGGCTGACCCAGGCACATGATGAAAATCTCAGTAATAAAATCTGCACGGACAAACTAAAGAAATTCATCATACGACGCAAGTGGCAGGTAACTGAAAAAATAATTTTGCATAATTTCTAATGTATGCGTTGCTAATGCATGTTTTAGTTGGAAGCTCCGCTCCGCTCGTTAATTTTTTAATGCAAATTTAAAATATTCTATTATATTATTATGCATGCACACGTACAAAAGTATAACATTCAGTCAAACATTGCAAAAGTAATTAATGTTTGGGTGCGCCCGTTCTTCTTCTTACTCACGGTAACTTAGCTATCCATAGATTAGCTATATTTCTCTGATCTGGTATAGACTTGCTCTTGGGTTTTTTGAATTTGGAGAGGAGTCTTTAATAAAGAGCGTTTTATGAAATTGTTTAAGTGAAAATATAAATATTCTAAACATAAAATTAATAGAGAATAATACTGACTAAATTCTAAATCGCAGAATTACCTAGAAAGAAAGAAGAATGCTCGAACAAAGTTTCTTAAATTATTTTGGATTTTATACTCTGTACATGCATTTATGAACAAGGGGTTAACAAACGTTCGGTAAGTTGGCCTGAAAAAAAATTCTTTTTGAATTCATTTGTAATCCTTTTTTTTATCTTCTCTACATAATCACCATTGATTTCAATGTATTTCTTAAGCCGACATAGATCCACTTCTTAAAACATTCTTCAAAACCTTGCTTTTTAAGCTTATTTTGTAACCGCTTGAGCGATTTTCGGCCGAGCTCCTCCTCCAGTTTGTGGATTTTCGTCTTGATGTTTTTCTAACAAATGGAGGGACCTATAGTTTACACTAAGCCGCCTCCGAACGGCTGATGGTTTTTATAAGGAGCTTTATTTCATGTCAGAAATATACTCGGAGGGGTTGACATTCTCTGCCGGGGGGCGACTGCAATTAGAATATTTAACTTAATTTTTTATTACGCAATGGTACAGCCGAGCCCATTTTTTCACCTTCGTTTATATGAATGGACAGAGCCTTGAAGAACCGATGATATCTCTCGGTGTACTTCCTTTATTTATAAGGAATTTAATCAGAGCGGGGTGCTCCAAATTGCATAATTTCCGTTGACATAGTGCAGTTGCTTGTTCCAGGAACGGAACGTTACAGCACCTAACTAATAAAAAAAGGTTGTAGTTGTTGTTATACTAATATGAGTCCCGCAATTAGTAGTTTAGTGTCATCTTTAACTACTTTAAGTCGCGAACTTAACAGCCGTCCCTCGTATAAAAGTATGCTCAACTTTCTTTAATACATGAAAACTAAATTATATTTCAAATTGAATACCATAAAATATTAATGTTCGCCTTTATATTATATTTAAATGCCTAATTATTTTTTTGTTTATTATATAAAATATATATTTTTCGCATCTTTTGGTTTATGATTTTCATTGCAATTATTGACTGTTCCCCGCTTAATATCATCTCCTGCCATACACGCTTTGCTCGCTGCTTTATTATTTCACCAAAGAAAACCGGTAATGCTATACGCGCTTTGGGCCGCATGGCCACGCTATCCGCTTCCCGACGCAATTCAGCCGTTTCCGGTGCTGGCAGTTTACCCAACAGTCCGCGCCCCTCAATATCCGGCATACATCACATGTTTCATCCGCATACAACCGCGCATATGGGTTCACTGCACGAAGAGGATGACGACTTTAGCATTGAATTGCCGAGCCAGACAACGCTGGAAACTCAGCGTCGTATACAGAAGACACTGAAAGTGCGTGATAAATCGCAATGTAGCGAACGCAGTGATTCCGGTTATAGCGAATGTTCGAACTGCAGCGTAGGTGGAAATCTTCCATGTCATTGCGGAGGCTCATCAACCGTACAAGTCATAGTGCAGCACAGTGTTGGTGACTTGCCAACCACGAATGCCGATACATTGCTTTCAATGGGTGTGGCGCACGATGTGCTCAAAACGAAATTAGAAGAAATCGCTCAGCAAGGAAACACCTCAGATGTAGAAAAGAGTAAGCTCAGCGATTTGAGAAACATGGAGGAGCCTGAATCGAATGTGCCAACTACGTCTGGATTCACAGAAAAATGTCAAGAGCCAATAAGTATACTGGAACAACGCATGCGTCAGGCAAGCTTAAGCTCAACTGTGCCTACAACAATAATGAACGATAATCTAGAGAATATTGAAGAACTTCATATACAAATTGCGGATGATATCACCGATGCAGTGCACCAAACTTTGCCACTCTCAGTGGTGCATACTTCGCCCACACACACCAATGCCTTAGACTCAAATATATTATTGGCATCGCCACCCAATCGTGAACCCATAATGCGTTCGGACTTCACCAACACCATTAAGATGCGAAAAAAATCGCTGGAGAACAATGCGTTGCGCGAGAAGCCCAAGCAACAGGCGAAACCGATATTTGAAGCTGCGGGAAAAGTGTCGCAGCTGAAGAATAAATTTAATATGGCCACCTCTGCTGGTGGTACTGGCAAGTCAGTTAGTGCTAAACTGGGATTTACGCAGACCTCACCGCTGCCCGTCAGAGCGCATGAGCACGTCAAAGAACTCGCTGCCGCTAGACGCTTCGCAAGCACTGATCAAAGTAGTTTATCCCAAACGCTTTAAAAAGCTATTTTGTTATTCATTTAATGCTTACTCTTAAAGGATTAATATTTAAATTTTTGATTTTCCCCACAGAACTCGCAACAAGTGCCACAACGAAAACAACGAATTCAACTATACAGCAGCAGCAACAACAACAACGCCATCAAAAACAATGCACATCAATGCCCAGCTCACCGCTCTTCGAGCGCACAGTCGCGCCACTACGGTTAAGCAGCCGAGTACGCGAGGCGACGGAGCGTTTAGCTCAACAGCAAACAGTAGCAACAAGCGCACGACGCATCGAGGCACGACGTTAGGCAAGAACAAAAGGTGGGGGCGATATTATTGCGCTGGATAAGCGAATCAAAACGAATCGAATAGATCACATGGGCGAGGGTGTGTAGCACTTGTTCAGCCAAATTAGAGATTGGAGATATGAATTAAGTGAGCAGTCATGTGTGGAGTACGACGTGTCATCGTAAGCGCGCGCCAACGTTTTGCCCGAAATGCCATGCAATCGCGAATTGTTCGACTCTTGGCATTATGCTTATGCTCATTTTTCCCACTGTATTGGAATATTGCGTGTTGTTGTTTAGTATTTTTTTTTTTACCCAAAAATCGTATAAAGTTTTTGTTTTTACAAATTTTATTATTTTAATTGTTTCAATGTGCACTTGAAATACGAAAAGTTATTTTAGCAGTAAAAACTTAACCCACACGAAACTCGAATAAGTATACAAAAACATTACATAATCAAAAGTTATGGATGCGCACGTGCAAATTTGAGGATTTTCTGTTTAATTTGCGTGCATAAAGCCATACAGAGAATTGCAATTGCTTACATCATTACATATGTATGTATAAGCAAGTGCTTAGTAATGAAGAAGTATAAAACCTTAAAGAACATAAATACATATGTATCCTTCAAGCACGCACTTACATACAACTACATACATATATGCAATTGCATTCGTGTATTGTATTTAACTGTAATGCTTACAAAAATACGAGTATACATACATATGTACTTATAATACCCCTTAGTACTTATCTTTCGAATATCTTGTGTTTGTATTTTATCCCGTTATAAAACAACAACAAATTTAAAAAATAATTGTTCTAATAATAATATATATATTGTATTTAATTTAATATGCATTACTTACCATTACTTCGTTAATGTATAGAAATTAATTGTTAAATATTACATACCTACTCGTACATATATACATATATACCTAAACATACACATACAAGTAAATAAATATTTATAAAAATGATAAATTCTACGATGTTCTTACATTTATATTGTATTAAAAAGCTGGGTTGATTTAATAAAACTTCAATTAAAAATAAAAATTTCGTTTTTTTTTTTTTTAATAATTATTTTAATCTTTATATAACCGTTAAAAGCCTGATTTTTTTCTTTACGCTGAAAAAATGTTTTTTTATAAAACTTGCAGTTCTAGGTAAACTTTGTTGTTGGGATTTTGCTTATAAGTGCCACTAAGCTAAACTAGCAGCAAAAAATCCGGTTCTTTCCTAGGGAAACCGCCTACAAGTTATGAAAATAAGTTTTGTATGAAAGACCTTTTTCTTTCATATTTATTTCGTGTCCCTTATAAAGGCAAGAAAAATTTCCAATGTACACTGAGGCTAACTCAGCGAGACAGTCGAAAAAGTGTTTCCTATGAAACTTACGCGAATGTCAAGGCAGCACAATGATAGATGGTTTCCTTCTCTTCTTCGTCCCTACATCCTAATCTCGTGAAGCCCCATTAAACAGTATCCAGTTATTATATCAGTCGTTATATTAATGGAGTACCGGAAGCGTCCAACTTCCGCCATAGCTGTCTGGTCAAGTTACACGTGATCTCGTTCAACCATCGTGAGGCAGCTTCCTTGGAAAAGGACAGTTTAAACATGTACTTAGCACTATGGGCTGTTGAAGTATATACTTCAGCGGCTACAAAATGCTAATTTTCTTATATTTTTAGGTTAGGTATTTATGCAATTCTTCTCCCTTTAGACGCATTATGTTATAATAATTTTCAGGAACATCTCTGTTTTGTAAAAAGAGAAGTAGAAGTTAGTTGGAAAAGGGGGAGAGAGACAACTTATCAAACGCTTTGCATTGCGTGCTTTTTTTACCATTTCAAAGAAATCAAAGGCGTATTTATGACCCAGAATATTAAATCTAGAAAATTGGTAACATGCTCTTACATTGGCCTGAACAGGTTGATTTAATTGAAACATCTTAAAAACTGAGGGACTAGTTTGCGTTCAAACAGACCGACATGGCCAAATCAACGCAGCTTGTCGGTCTAACTCGATTGGTAAAAATTGTGGTGGGTCTCTCCCGTCTCCTTCGGGCCAAAGTTAATAAATCATGTTGATATTCATGAAAGATGAAAAAGAAAAACATCTTTACCTTAGTACCATCCCTAGTAGATTATTTATTTATTCATTCATATTAAACAAACATACACTCGTTACTGTCAAAATTATATAAATCGTTCCCGTCATGGAATTTCTAAAAAAACAAAAACATCTTAGTTCATCCATTAATAGGGTGCAGTTACAGCTGCGGAGCTGTACTCAATTCCTACTCTTGCGTGGTGCAGGTAGCGCATCGAATACATGGGACGACATGGCTTAGCCAGTGCAGCCACTGTCTCTTCATACGCTGAACTATGTCAATGACATTGTATAACTCGTACAGCTGATCGGTCCATCTTCTGCGATATTCGCCATCGCCCATATGCAAAGGACCATAAATCGTTCTTTTTCTTTCGAAGACTTTTCTCTCGAAAACTCACAGGGCCGACTCATCAGATCTAGACGTCGTTCACGCCTCTGCACCAAACAATGGGGCGAGGATGATAAGGGAAGGAATCTCATCAGCATATGCCAGCAGTTGCATACTCTTTTAAAATATTGTACCTAGTCCATTTAGTTCTGCAGCTCTATTATTTACCTCAACATCAAGTTGTAGAAATCACACGATAAAGAGTCACTATGTTTGAAACCTCGTTTAGTACTGACCAGCTCTTAAAAGGTACTTCCCAATTCTGACTGCGCTTATGGTCTTGTTTACACAGCCGCATAAGTTTTGCGGGGATACCAAATTCAGACATGGTGGCATAATGGCTGCTCCTATTCGTGCCATTAAATTCGACAATAAGGTGACATATGTAGATCCTCTTTCCTGTACCTTTCCCAAAATTTGGCGAATGGTGAATATCTGGGCATTGGTCGATTTACGAGGTTTACATCCAAACCAATCAGTTTGTTGACGATGGGCTTTAGTCCTTAACACAATATGCTTAGTAGGACCTTATATAATCTGTAGAAACTTTTGTTTATGAAATACGAAAATCGTCAAAGACGCTAAACAATAACATTTCCGAAGACCTTGTATAGAACTCGAGAAAGTGTCAAAATGATTTATAGAGGCTCTGTTAACCATTGCTAAAAGTGATGACGTCCTACATAACGACTACTTTAGCTCGAATTGAATGGAACCTCCATCTGTCCTATAAAGCACCAGCAGATCTATGTAAGTCGTAACTCGTAGCCGTTATAACATAACCTAACATAAACTTTTTTTTTAAATATTAGTTTGTGTGGAAATTAAAAAAAAAAATTCATAAAAATTTCAATTAATATAAACGGAAGATTTTGGCATAAAAAGTGCGTTGTTGGTGAGTATAATTAAAATTCCATACAAATGCGTATTTGAAAATTTTATTTTACTAAAAACAGTATTTAACATTTTCCGAACGTATTTTTGGAAAATTGTGCGAAATCTTAATTCGAACATATTTAAGTAAGGTATGCCGTGTACCGTTTGCGAACGAGTATGCAATACTATATTACCAACTAACTGCCTAACGAGGCTTCAAACTTCAAACTCCCAGTTATTGAATTTATATTAAATATTGCTTTGATGTTACTTAAAGAACATAATTCATACAAAATATTACAAAACTCTTATATCTATAGTTCATTCTTATAAATACATGAAATTTAGACTAGAGAGTCTCTTAATAAAATGCCAAGTTTTTGTGCGTAGACAATATGAAATAAATCATACATTTTACTGCATACATACATTACTATATAAAACTAATATTGATTTCACTCATTAGGAAGTGTTGGCTAATTATTGGCACCCGCGACAGCGCAATGATTAGCATTGCTTACTGCCATTTGAGTCCTGGTTCGACCAACATCCAAAATTTTAGAAAAAACATTTTTCTAAATGCGACCACCTCTCGGTAGAGATTTTCAAGCTCTCCGAGTGTATTTATGCCTTAAAATAATTCTCCACACAAAAACTTCCATTGGCCGCTCTGAGGCGGCTAAAAATTGTAGGTGACTCCATTTGTTGGAAAAGCATTAAGACGCTAAACCACAAACTGGAGGAGGAGCTCGGCCGTAAACCGCTTTGGCGCCAATTTAAACAATAATTTTTTAATTTCCTCATAATTTATGGACTCGATTGCATAATTTAGTTCTCTTTATAGTGAAAATTATTTTGGCTTTTAAAGATCCATACAAGCAAGTGATTAAGTATAATTCTTACATACAATCATAAATACTCTAAAACTAAGGTTTAACTCCAGCTTTTTCTATTCGTTTATACTGTGAATACCACTACAACTACTTTTCACTCATACCTTATTTTTATACGTAAATTTTAGGTTCTAACTACTCTCCATCTAATTACTATAATCAACTAGAGGATTTTCGCGTGGCTTCAAACGCACCCACAGACCACCGGATGCACGCAGTGTAATGCGAAATGTGGCATTGAACGAGGTCTTGCCCGCCACCGGCAGCAGCTGATAACTCCGCAGCAAACGTGAAACAACCGTTTTCATTTCCATGATAGCAAATCGGTTGCCAATACAATAGCGAGGTCCAGCACTGAATGGAATGTAGGCGTAAGGATGTCGTGTTTCTGAATTTTGTGCTGAAAATCGTTCGGGTTCGAACTTTTCGGGATCGGGGTAAATGTGTGGCAAACGGTGTGTGGCGTAAGGACAAATAAAAATATTACTACCAGCGGGCAGTGTGTATTTGCCCAGTCGTACTTCTTCCCCCAATTTACGTGCCATCAGAGGCACACTAGGGCATAAACGTAGAGCTTCTTTAATGCACATCTCGAGATAGCGCATTTCGCGCAAATCACCCATAGTGGGCGCACGTTGATCATATTTGAAAATATCATTGATTTCCGCCATACACTTATCCTGACATTCGGGATTTTGAGCGAGCAGAAAAAGTGTGAAGGCAACAGCAGCGCCAACGGAATCTTGACCGGCCAACATAAAGGTGCACGCCTCATCCACAATATCGTCTTCCGTGAAATCGGCATTGTTGTAGGAAATTTCAATCATATAATCTAGCAGACATTTGCGGACGATAACTTCGCCATTTTCCATCATTTCCCGTCGACGTTTGATCATTTGGCGTGTGAATTGATCGAGACGCTTCTTTTGATCGAGCTCTTCCGAGGCTATTTTCGTAAATTTGTAAATGCTCTCAAAGAGTAGCCAAGGTTGCAAAAAACGTTCGTTCACCACCACTTTGCCCCTGTAAAGGCAGAAAAAAGCTTTCAGGCTGAAAACAAACTCTAGCCGGGTATAAGTGATTACTTACTGTCTAAACGGCGACTGATTCATATCTACCACAGAGCCTTGTCGCTTCACTGGTACGCCCAAAACAGCCTCTGTTAAATGAGAAAACTATTATAACCTTAAATAGGAATGCTTGAACATCGCACACTTACCATTTAAGATGTCGATAACGCAATTATTTATATATTTAGCAATATTCACTTCCTCATTGGCAGACGCAAGCAAATTCTCGAAAAGCGTTTGTGAAGCATCCGCGAATGTTCCAATGAAACGCTCCAGAATAGTTAAATGAAACATCGGCTGTATGAGCTTTCGATGTGCATTCCACTTTTCACCACTACTCGTAATGAGTCCATTGCCCAGAAAATTGTGCATCAATCTGTAAAAGAACACCTTCTCGGTGTGCTTCTTTGAAGAGAGTATCACCTGTAAGTCATCCGGTTGTAAGACGGCAAAGAAGGGAAACAATAATACCCAAATTCGAATTAGAGGACCATAAAGACCAAAAGCTGTTGCTACACGCTTTGCAAGCACTGCAAAGGAAGAATCAGTCAGAGATGAACTGTTAATTTGTAGAAATAGTAATGAGTGAAGCTTTACTTACTATCCTTCTCCTTGATGATCAAACAATTGCCGAGTATTGGTAAAGCTTCTGGTCCGGATAGCTTTAAAGAAAGTAGCACCGATTTGATATAATCCCATAAGCCATAAAGTGATAATGCAACAGCGAGGAGCGTCGCAAAACTCCATAACTCCGAATGCGAGGCATGTTCGAGCTGAAAAGTAAATAAAAATAATTTTATTATAAAAATATATGTAATACATTGGTGAATACAATTATTTTGAAAACTGTGAAATCTGTAATGCTTTATATATTTTTAATGTTTATTTACAGAAGAAAACCCACCAGAAAATTTTTGTTGTCTTCAATAAGAAAACGAGTCGCCCCTGGCAACCAATTTTTTGCCGGTAATATCGCCATAGCAACGATTTCTTATTACCAGTTTTTTAAAATGTCCGCCGAAGACAATTCTTTTAGTCGAGTCGAGTCGAGAGTGCCTAAATAATAACTCTTCTTTTTTTCATAAGAAAATATTCAATACAAGCGTATTATAATGGGTTGAAGAAAAGGACGATTTTTTAAAGGAAAGTAAATAAAAATTTTTTTTGGATTTTATAATGAATTTGTATGAATTATGTAATTTCCATTTTGTTGGATGACCTTCCGGCAAAATCATTATTCCACGCCCATAGAACTTCTGGCCAAAAACGTAATCCAATCTGATTTTATAGCCCCGTCATTGTCGAAAGTTTTACCATTTAATGAGTTCTGCAAGGATCGACACAAATGGTGGTCTGCCGGTGCAAAGTCAGGGCTATGACATTCCCTGCCGAGGGGCGACCGGAAAATTTAGCTTAATTTTTTATTTAAATAATTTTCTATAACTTTTTGGTGTTTTGATGTTAATGCGACTCCAGCTTCATATAGTTACTTTGTACATATTGAATTTTTTGATGATTGATAACAAGAAGAATGTTGCGTATACGACTAGTACATCCAATCGATATTCATCATTTCCTCAAACAGTAATAAATATACAAAGGTGTTATGATATTATATATATTAGAAATAAGTACATATATAAATATACTTTGAAATTATGCCATAAGTTTTTTTTTTTGAAATAATTTTTAAAATCGACTATTTGCCTTTCTTTAGTTAGTATTATTAAGGTGTTACACAGGTCTTGAAGGCCGAAAAGAAAGCTTATTTTCACTATTTTTTTTAAAAGATACTAAGTAAAGTATACAATTTATTTTCTTTACATATAAAAGTACAATATTTGAACAACATTTGATGAACATTTGAATGAAAAATAGTATAAGTTAAGGCGTCGGCAGTGTCGTGAAGTAGACCAGTACACCGTCTTTTTCAATTTTTATCTGAAATCAAAAATCCAAACATATTCTTAAAGTAGGTAAAATTTCCTTATTTCTGAACGAAAATGAAAAAAAAATTGAAAATTGAATTTTTTGTAGCGTTTTTTTTACAAGAAAAGTAATGTTTTGCATAAAATTAGGCCACATTTTGGCTTGTAAAATGAGTTGAAATCCAAGATCAAATAAATCCTTCGTTCAGGAACTACAAAAACTACATAGACTTAAAAGAAGTGAGGAAAATTTGAGCTCGATAGCTTCAATAGTCGTTGAGAAATATTGAATACCGATTTCGATATAGTGGTTTTAGGAAAAGCGCGTTTAAAGTCAACGCGTTCGGTCAAGCCATGATAAGGACAGCGAGTTACAAAACCTTCTAATTTCTACAGTTTCGTCTGGATCGACTTGAAATGTGGGGAAAATATTCCTGACACTTTGTACTTTTATACGAAATATTATCAAAAAAATGAATTTTTTGAAGCTTCAAGACCTATGTAACCCCTTAAAAGAGTCAAGAAAAAGTATTTATTCTAGTCTTGCCACACATAGCACAGATCACTGACCTTTTAAAACTCTGAATTTATCAAAATTTAGAAATGGTTTGCTTATAGCTTTACATGAATGAATATTTGCTTCAGTAGAAAGTTAGTTTGCTAAAAAATTAGTAAATCAGTAACAAAAGCCATTCGAGAATATTACAGTACATTTTCAAACATAAAAATATGTTGCGGCCATTGACTAAAGCGTAATTACAAATTTATGAAAAGAAAATTTGGTCTGAGTAAAAATGCAAATAATAAGCAGCAGCATGAGTTAAAGCGTGCACACAAACACATATACGTATATATATATATATACAATATATCTATGTACACATATACTCTCATAATTCAACCGTTTAAGAGGTGTGAATTAACAAATTCAATAAATAAACTATATATATAACAGTGTTATCCAAGTATCTGTGCATATTTTTGTGAGGAAGTATTTGCGTCTGTTTGCCAAATTCATTATGCATTATCTATTTCCATTCGTTTGCTATCACACTAGCGAATGCTGTAGAATTCATTGCTTTTGAAAATACTGATTTGTGTGCTTGTGCGTTGTAAAGTAACAGACGACTTTTTTTTTTTTAATTATATACAGTAGGTACATTCAAATTCACGTGGTATCTACGTATTTGTCTTTCTTGCACGCGTGATGGCATCACTTATTCTGGTACTTGAAGAAATTTTGAAAATCGTTGCTTGAATTCGGGTTTATGAATAGCTTCGCGGTATGTATTTAAGGCGGGGTGTACGACTGTGTTATAAAGCAGTTTCCAAATGTTAAATTTTTTCACATATATAAATAATAAGACATTTGACACATGCTCTTTAAAATATGATTAACGATTACAATTAAATTTGTTTTATTTACCAACACATTTTAGGCCTGAGTCGTTTTATTTGTTGTGAAAGACCTTATATTTGTGGATTTGTAAATGAGCTAAAACTGAAACTTTTTTTTTATTTACGGCAATTTATTTGGGATCGCATCTCTCAATTAATATTGGAATTAAAATCAGGCTCACATTTACCACTGGATTCTTTATTTTCAAATATTAATACACCAATTTTCCCTAGAAATTTAAAAAACTTGTCTTTCGTGATCCATATTTCTTTGCTCTCTGATTAGTTTGTTTCATATTCCAGCAAACACTTGGGAGAGAGCTACATATTGTAGTGGTACGATGATTGATTATGATAAATCATGAATAAATTAAAAGAATATTATTTCTGAAACCCTAATTTTTTTCCGAGCTTTCACACTCACACACCAGACTGTTCTTAAAAAAGACAGACGAAATTGTACACATCAGCTCGGCTCGTCTTCATTTTATCCTCTCTGCTCTTTATACTTATGAAGTCCGTGGATGGAGCCTAAATGAATACAGTACAATTACAAATGCCAACATTAGTATGTAGACAGTACGGGAGACATATTTGAATGCAGCTCAAAAAGCGCGAGATATCTCGAGAAGATATTACGAGCCCTCACCTATTAATTCGCACGGCTGGTGTTTTTACGCATATGCAATGTTTAGCATATAATATATGTGAAGATAATGCAGACTCATACAAACATATATTTTTCTGAAAGATAATTTTATTCTCTATTTGATAGAAAAATTTTTTTGTTGTTGTTTAGCGTACAACAACAACATCATTTATTTACATACACTATTCTTATTATTGTATACCTGCTTAATTCAATGCAGGATCGTTGTAAATGTGTTATAGAGGCTAAGGGTGATGTTACCAAGTATTAATATTAAGTATATATATTATATTAAGCCAAATAGACTGTAAAGTTTGTAGCGTACGAAATAATAGTGGTCAAGCGTTTGTTATTTCTTCATCGCAGGTATTGTTTATAAGCCTAAAGCCTCCCCTGTGACCCCAGATCTGAAAAATCTACCTGTTACTATCCTATACGCCAAACCATGGAAAGAACACGTGATAAAAGTATCCTTCGGTTGCACGAAAAGTAGTTACCTTTAAACCTCTATCCTCGAAAAACTTATATGATTGTGTAAGCTGACGTTAAGCAGCATCAACGAGTTTATCAGAATCGAAAAGGAGTTTTCAGACAAGGTGACACTGTATTGTGCCACTCTATGCTGGAATATTAATATGAGATACAGATCGCAACAGATAAGGTTCTAGTTTTGCCTCTTCTTTTGGATAAGGAAGCAAAGTGAATGTGTTTACCCATTTCCGTTTTGCCTTCACCGTCACATTTTCGGTTTATCTATTAATCTAGCGCCAAATACAATGTCAGCCTTGATACACGACGCAGAATCATTCAGTAGACAGTTGAAGTCATCTCTTGACACATGATTTTACTTTTCTAGTCTACAAGTCGCCCATTATTCCCGTTCACATAGTGCAGAAGCGTGCACGATGACGAAATCAGATGATTTGTCGCTGGATATTTTCTAAAGAAGGGTTTTGCGGCCGATTTATTTACGTGCTAACGATGGCGAATACCGTTGAGTCTATGGCGATGGCGATAAAACAATGAGCTGTATGAGATATACGAATACCTTCGCATCGATCGGATGAAAACACGCCAGCTTTGAAAATTTCGCCGCACTGTAAGTAGAGGAAGATGAAGACCTCTACTCTGTTGAAAAGATCAGGCGAAAAAGGGTTCGAAGAGGAATAATGACCTCTGTCTTATTGTAGACTCGGCTATAAGCATTTAAGCGTTGCTACACCAAAAAGAGAAAAAAAACTTTATAAACAGAATTTTGACTGATATAATTAAGTTTCTCTGCCAAAAAAGCTGGAGCATAAAAAATCATAATCCAAATTTGCCTTTTCCTAAGAAAAAATACATAAAATGTTTTAGTTGAGTACAATTTATTAAGTAAATCAAATATTATAATGTTTTGCAAATTCTACATTATTTAACCTGTACTATAATCTTAAGATTTTGCCATCGAGTGGGAAGAGCTTAACTTCGAATCATCAATGAAAAGAAAAATAATAAATATATTTATGTTTTATGTAGAAATTTTTTGTAAACACCTGCCAACAATTACTGATTGGCTTACGCCAACTGTATCGACTATCTATCTTGCTATGAAAAATAACAGTATTTTTCAAAATACAACACCACACAACAAAAGGCAACTACACATTTGTAAGTATTTTCTCTTAGCGGTTGGTTGACATGTCAAGTTTACTTGTGATGTTTTACCGAGTTTAAAACTATAAATTATTGTTTACATATAAGCACATACATATGCACATTAGGCTGTTCATTCTTTGCTAAGTACTTTTTGAGTTTA